TCTCGTCAAAAGCTATGTCCTGAGTGTGAAAAAAACAGTGAGAGTCAAGGTCATACACACGCCAACCTTTAGTGCCGGAGGGGTACTAAACAAACATGCACTTGGTGCTGCGAGGAGAAAATTTTTAGAGGTTTTCATACGAACAAAACACAAACACCCAAAAATTTTGAGATGACTAAAATCAGGTGCTTTGTTATTGAGAATCTCAAAAGGGGATTTTCCACCAAGGAGTTTGTTGGGAGTCCGTTTATTTAGATACACAGCTTTACGAACACATTCCCCCCAAAATTCAATAGGTAAATGAGCTTGAAACATGAGTGATCAGGCGACGTTTAAAATGTGTCTATGCTTATGTTCCACCCGACCATTTTGTTGGGGAGGCAAGACGTTTGAACAAGAACACCCAAAGACGCATAATATGTCCGAAGATCTCAATTGACAAATTCAGTCCAATTATCAGAACGTACAACTTTGATGGTTTTATGGAATTGGGTCTGAATCATGGCAAAAAATGTTTCAAACAACTAGGCACTTCAGATTTATCAATAATCAGATAAGCTCAAACGGCTCGAGAATGATCATCCACAATAGTGAGAAAATAATAAGCACCAGTAGCTAAAGAAGGGGTGTAGGGCCCCCATAAATCACAAGGAATTAAATCAAAAACAGTAGTAGCTTTATTGGAACTGATTGGAAAGGAACTACGAACTTATTTAGACTGAAAACAAATTTCACAAGACTGCAACAGTTTAATTTTATTACTACTAATAGAAGGAATAAGAGACGACAAAACTTGAGTAGACGGATGACCCAAGCGTTTGTGGAGGAGAATGGGGTCCACTTGGGTCGCAGCCGCGGTAGAGGAAGGGCGAAACAGGAATATTCTGTTGCATGCATCACCCCTTCCAATCTCCATCTTCGTTGCACAATCCTGTATTACACAACAATTGTCGTTAAAAATTACAAAGCAGGATGTATCCCGAATAAGGCACCCAACAAAAATAAGATTGCATTGTAAATGAGGAACGAGCAAAAGGTCCCGAAGGACCACCTCGGCCCAGTGTTTTGAAGACCAGACCGGACCAACCGGTCCAACCGGTCGACCCGCGAACCGGTAGCATATCCGGTCCGGTTCACTGAAGAAACCCGCTTTCCATTTGACCAGCCCAAACCCGTCGGACCCGGTGACCCGGGTGACCCGGGTCGACCCGTCCCGTCTGATTCCCGGGTTTGGGCTTAAATCTATATTTTATTAAATTTTACCACATAAAAATTGAAAGCGTTGGATGGGAATCGAACCTAGCACCTCCCGTATGCCAGTGCAGGTTGTCAACCAAGTAAGCTACTCAATCTTTGTTCAAGGTCTAGGTATCTAACATATCTATTTATGGCTTTACAAAAGGTTCATACGAAAATAAATATATAGTTTCTTTGTGCAAGTGTGATTTTGTATTTATGAACTTTTAAAATAGTTTTAAAAATTGAGAATTATTTAATTTTTATTTGAAAATAAATATACTATGTATATTTTATAATTAAAAAATTGTTGTTTTTAAAAATCAAACAATATTTCTTAATTATAATTTAATATGCTATATTTTTAATTTTTCAATCATTTTAATCAACTAAATATTAAATTTAAAATGTCATATGTAAATAAGAATAAAATATATAGTCTTTAATTTTTAAAAATATGAGTATCCCGTTATTATTTAAGTATTTGTTAGAGATTAAATATTAACTTTTGATAATAATAAAAATAATAAAATAAAAATAGAAGGTGTGAAATAGCATATGTACAAAGATATTAAAAATAGATGGAGAAATAATAACATAGATTAAAATATTTTATTGACTAAAAATATCTAATATATTATAAAATATTATTATTATGAACATAGTTGACTGGGTCGTTGACCTTCGGTTAGACCGGTTCGATCGGTCAACCCTTGACCCACTACCTCGTCCGGGTCGACGTCTGGTCCGGTTTTCAAAACATTGCCTCGGCCGAGAGTCGCACGTGACCACATTGAGTGGCGGTAGTGCGCGTGCCATTGGGTAACGTGATGGTGCAAGGGCTCATAGAAACCACATTAGACAAATATGAGATATTACCGGTCATGTGATGAGAAGCGCCACTATCGATAAGCCACTCACGAGAAGAAGAATCCCCACTAGGGCCAGAAACCTTTTCAGATGAAGAAGTATCAAGCATGGAAAGCAGGCGTGTCATTTGGTTGGGTGAGGCCAAGGGTGTTGGAATTCGTCGTCGAGTGTGCTCCCCATGTCGCCATTCCAGACCCACGGCCAGGAACACCACTGTCGCCCGACGTGCCACGGCCGCCACTCCGTCCTCCTCAGCTGGGTGCACTGCCACGGCCCCAGCCCTTCCCTAGGGGGTACCTGATAAGTTCATTTTGTTCTTATTTTATTCTACATATTTTAAGCGTTATTGCACGAAAATAGTGGTAAGCAGTACATAATTTTATGTTAAACTGAAAAATATCTTTGATTTGTTCTTTAAGGAATAATAATTGGTTTAAAGTTTATCCAGTCCTGATTGTTGATTTTTCTGTTTATATTTGAAACAAAAAGAAGTTTTTAACTGAGAATTTTATCATGGGAATATCGGAGGAAGTTCAAACAAACTGCAAAGCAAAATAAGAATTGAAGTTGGGCCTTATTTGGATCAAACCGCGGAAAAAGCCCACGGGAAAAGGCCCGAAGCGTCCAACCTTGGACGCTTTGCAGGTTGGACGCTTCCCTTTGGACGCTTGGCAAAGATTGGGCATCACGAAAGGCACGTGGCGCGCAGCGAATGGACGAGCTACGCAAGGCGTCCAATTTTGGACGCTTTGGATCCGGACGGCTGGGGTTGGACGCTTCGCGTCCAGTCCTATAAATACAGCACTTCCCCCCCTCCGATTACACACGCCGCACAGCGCCTTTCTCCTCCCTCAAGTCCGAATTTCTCCATTTTTAGGCTAGTTCTTCAAAGCTACTTTCATATTTTAGATTAGAATTATTTCTTGGAGTTTTCACGGAGCAAATTGTAGCCCGAACCTCCAGTTCTTCAGATTTGTTGAAGTAAGTTTGTCAACTCTCTACTTTTATTTGAAAAATGTCTTCTTATGATGCATGTGTGTTGAAGGTTTTTATTATGAGTAGCTAAATTAATTAGGGATGTGATTATTGGAATGGTGATGGTAATTTTCTGAGAAAATCATTGAGTTAAATTATATTGTTGTCAAGACAAATTACTAGTTTTTATTACTGAGAATTTATACTTGAGATTTGTAAATCGAGAGAAGGCAAATCTATTCTTGAAAATTATATTTCTTGAGAAATCTGGAATTTAATTAAGTCAAGCCCAGTAATTTGATAATTGATCTTTAGACATTGGATTAATTGTTAAGTAATATTTTAAAAGATACTTACTTACTAGTAAAAAGATTTAAAGTAAAAGTAACCGGTGATTTTACCCTAAAAAGAATCATCACCTCACCAATAATTACATCCCTACTCTTTATTCCTGAAAAGTAAAATCCAATCTCCACTCCTTATTCGACTTATTGAAAACTTTTCAATTCAACGAGTAAATCTTGTCTAGCTAGTCTTGCTAAACTTTCCCTTGGGCCGATCCTTGAGACGACACGGGATAAACTGATCTTTTAAAGGTCTAGTCTACTCCCTTTACTACTACGGGAATTTTGAGTTAAACCAAAATTCCTCACCAAATGGCGCCGTTGCCGAGGATCGGCGCAGAAATTTATTAGTAAGATTTCTTTTTAGCCTGAAAGAAAGTTGATAGAAACGATTTTCATAAAAAAAAAGGAAAAAAACAATAAATACTTTTGTTTTAATTTAGTTTAAAATATTTTCCCGCTTAATTTGTTAAACTTGTAGTTCCCTTTATTAAAGCGTACCTAGGTTCAACTTTTATTTTTCTGAAAAAAAAAAGGAAAAAAATCTAGTAACTACCTTTTTTTTAATAAAAAAACAACAAATAAATAAATAAATATTAATAAAAGGTAATATTTCCAAAACACAATATATATATATATATATATATATATGTATGTATTTTCTTGAATATTACTTTTTAGTTATCATTAGGTGGTTGTTTGAATTCTTCCTCTAGCCTTCAAAATTGTATGAACACTCGTTCTCGCGGTGAGAACGTTCTTCCGGGAACCAAAAACCCCGAACTTTTGCTCCGACGCCGCACCGTCAAAGTTCCTCGTCAACTGGAGTTCAGCGACGAAGAGCGAAGAGAAGAAGAAGAAGAGGAGGAAGAAAATCACGAAGAAGAGAACCAACACTCGGAAGAGGAAGAAGAAATGGCGGCTAATCCCACACGAACGATCCTTCAAGCTATGAGCCCGGCGTACGTAGAGGAAGATCCCATAGGTCTCCCCGCTAGTCAAGCCCATTCATTTGAAATCAAACCAGCAATGATCCAAATGGTCTCGAGTAACCAATTTGGAGGCTCAAAAGTTGAAGATCCAAGGGAACACATGCTATGGTTTTCGAGGACCTGCTAAACATTCCAGTCTAACGGCTTATCTATGGACCGTGTTAAACTATCGCTCTTTCCCTTTTCCCTTTGGGATCGTGCCGCCAGATGATTGAACACATTTCCTAATGGCCACGTCAAGACCTGGGAGGCATTGCACCAGGCATTCATGCACGAATATTTCCCACCCTCCGCCATGGTAAAAATTAAGAACTCCATCCAAAACTTCCGCCAAGCACCTATGGAATCAATGAGCGAAGCATGGGAAAGATTCAAGGAGTTGAAGGTTAAATGCCCACCCGCTTTAATTGATTCCGATAGTTTGATGTTCTACTTTTACCAAGGCTTAACGGTACCATCTAAGAAGGAATTGGACCACTCTTCTAAACTTGGTTCTTTTCTGGAGATGACACCTGAGGAGAATGAGGAGTTAGTAGATAGACTTACGATAGACTTACGTCGAATGCTAAATATTGGTACGAAGACCGAGCTCCTCCTCCTAAAGCTAGCATGTATGAAGTAGACCAATTCACAGCTCTCAAGGCTAGTATGAAGAGCATTGTGAAACAAACTATCAAGGAACACCTAGGAGCTTCCCATCCACGTCCCAATCAGTACACTGAACCGGTGAACCAAGCTGAACCCTATGGTTCTGGTAGTCACCACCAATCTGATCTTGTATTGTCTTGTGAACACTGCTTTCAAAATCATCTTTCTTCTGCTTGTCCCTTGATTGAACCACCCCCTCCGAGCAGGACTAAGGAGGTTAATCTAGCGCAATACGCGAATAAAGGGGAAGGACCTTGGGCCCAGAACAATCAAGAGCATTGGCGGGAGAGAAATAGTTTTCCAAGAAACAATCGTCCCAGGGATGACTATAAACAAGGTAACTGGAATAACAATAAAACCAATTACAAAAATACCAATGCACCCTACGTCCCACCTCATAATCGCCAACCTCCGCAAGAAGACTCCTTGGCAAGGATGGAGAAGATGATGATGGAGTACATGCAGAAGATGAACAACCTAGCAGAAGATATGAAGGAACGTGACAAGACACGGGATAGTCAACTCCAACAAGTGTTTAAACAACTTGGAGTTAGAGAACAGGGGAACCTCCCAGCTACCACTGAACCAAACCCACGGGAGCAACTTCGGGCAATAACTTTTAGAAGTGGTAAAGAGCTTCAAGGCCCAGAAGTCGAAGTCAATATAGGTGAAGTACCCGTGGATACCCCTATAGGAACAACCCCGCAAAAGAAAACTGAATCCACGCCCCAAGGGGCGGGAAAGGAAGAAACCTCTTCTAGCCAGACCCTACCAACCAAGCAAGCTCAGCTAAACACTATCCCTTTTCCTACTAGGGTGAAAAAGAACAAGGATGAAAAGGCTTTCCAAAAGTTTCTCGGTGTCATTGGCCAAGTTGAGGTCAAAATGCCTTTGGTAGATGTGTTAACTGAAATGCCCAAATATGGTAAGTTCTTAAAGGACCTCGTAACTAAGAAGAGGGACTGGGAGGAATTCCCAGTTGTCAGCTTAAATGCTGAATGCTCTGCTATGTTACTTGAGGAAATGCTTAGAAAACGAAAGGATCCTGGATGTTTCATCATCCCTTGTTCCATCAACGATAGAACCTTTGGAGACGCTTTAGCTGACCTAGGAGCTAGCATAAATTTAATGCCGTCCTCTATCATGAAAGCACTGGGATTGACTGGACTTAAACCCACTCAAATGTGTCTTCAATTGGCAGATAGCTCTATTCGTTACCCCAGGGGGGTGATTGAAGACGTGCTTGTGAAGGTAAATAAGTTCATCTTTCCTGCTAATTTTGTGGTGTTGGATATGGAAGAAGATAAGGAAAAGCCGCTATTACTAGGGCGACCATTCCTTCCGACCGCAAAGGCATTTATTAATGTACACGATGGGGAATTAACTCTAAGAGTAGGCAATGAAGATGTTACTTTTAAAATGATGAGCGTCATGAATCGAACTCCAGACCCAGCTGAGTTCTGCAACTCAGTAAAAGTCATAAAAGATAAAGGGTCTGTAGAAGATCTCCTAAGCCTAGAAATTTCTTTTCAAGAACCTAAGTGTGAGGAGGTGTGCGATATCAAGATGCGATCTGAACCCACAAACGAAGCCACATCCTTAGAACTTAAACCCTTACCATCACACCTCGAATATGCCTTCCTCGATAGTGAGGGCCAGTGCCCCGTTGTCATAGCCTCCGATCTAACACCTGATCAGAAGGAAAAATTACTAGCTGTCCTCCGTATGCACAAGCAGGCGATTGCCTGGAAACTAGAGGATATTCAAGGAATAAGCCCCGCTTATTGCACATATAAAATAGCCATTGAGGACGGATGTAAACCAGTTGCGCAGGCTCAACGCAGGTTGAATCCAAAATTAATGGAAGTAGTGTAGAAAGAGGTGCTTAGACTCTTGGATGCAGGAATAATATATCCTATTTCAGATAGCCAATGGGTGTCACCAATCCACGTCGTTCCAAAAAAAGGAGGGATGACAGTAACCAAAAATGAGAATGGAGAGTTAGTTCCAGGAAGAACGGTAACTGGATGGCGAATGGTCATAGACTATAGAAAGTTAAATGATGCCACACGCAAGGATCATTTTCCCCTTCCTTTTATTGACCAACTCATTGAGAAATTAGCTGGCCATGCGTACTATTGCTTCTTGGATGGGATGAGTGGTTACTTCCAAATCCATGTAAACCTTGAAGACCAGGAGAAGACCACTTTCACTTGCCCGTTCGGAACCTTTGCATTCCGTCGAATGTCATTCGGACTCTGTNGGTAACTGGATGGCGAATGGTCATAGACTATAGAAAGTTAAATGATGCCACACGCAAGGATCATTTTCCCCTTCCTTTTATTGACCAACTCATTGAGAAATTAGCTGGCCATGCGTACTATTGCTTCTTGGATGGGATGAGTGGTTACTTCCAAATCCATGTAAACCTTGAAGACCAGGAGAAGACCACTTTCACTTGCCCGTTCGGAACCTTTGCATTCCGTCGAATGTCATTCGGACTCTGTAATGCTCCTGCCACCTTCATGAGGTGTATGGTAGCTATTTTCGAGAAGTTTATAGGGAATTTTATGGAAGTCTTTATGGATGATTTCTCTAGCACAGGGAAGTCATTTGACGAATGTCTAGGTAATCTAGAAAAAGTCCTCAAAAGATGCGAGGAAACTCACCTAGCTCTTAGTTGGGAAAAATGCCAATTCTTAGTCAAAGAAGGGATAGTCTTAGGCCACAAGGTATCAAGCCGTGGGGTAGAGGTAGATCGTGCTAAGATTGAGACTATAGAGAAGTTACCACCACCAAATTCCGTAAAGGCCATCCAAAGTTTTCTAGGGCATGCCGGATTCTATAGAAGATTTATCAAGGACTTTGCTAAAATAGCAAAACCCCTAACTGCCCTTTTAGAAAAAAGTATAGAGTTTATTTTTACGGATGAATGTTTACAAGCGTTCAATACTCTGAAAGAAAAACTAATCTCAGCCCCCGTGCTTATTGCCCCAGACTGGCACTACCATTTGAACTAATGTGTGACGCTAGCGACCTAGTAGTAGGAGCAATCCTTGGACAAAGGAAGGAAAAGGTCTTTCACCCAATTTACTACGCTAGTAAAACCTTATCAGGAGCGCAGCTCAACTACACAACCACTGAGAAAGAATTCCTAGCAATTGTATACGCTTTGGAAAAATTCAGGCCTTACATCATTCTTTCTCCAGTTGTCGTTTACACCGACCATGCGGCGTTGCGATACCTGTTGCAAAAGAATGATGCAAAGCCTCGGTTATTACGTTGGGTTTTGTTGTTGCAGGAATTCGATTTACAAATCAAGGATAGGAAAGGATCGGCAAATCAAGCTGTAGATCATCTATCCCGACTAGATGTGGAAGTAGCCGAGCAATTTGGCAATTGTATCGTAAATGAGTCCTTTCCCTTTGAGAGGATCTATGTTATACAAGAAAAGGAGCCTTGGTATGCAGATATTGCCAATTTTCTGGAAGGGAAGATCGAGCCTACCTTGTTGACACCGCACCTAAGCAAGAAGCTTAAGCGAGAAGCCCACTTCTATTTTTGGGACGACCCCTACCTTTTCCGGATTTGTGCGGACCAAGTAGTTCGGCGATGCGTGACTGAAGCAGAAGGAAGGGAGATATTGGCAGCCTGCCATAGTGGCCCGGTTGTGATAGAATTTGGGATGGGTATATGGACAACTAGATTGGGTAATAAGACACTTGGGTTGAACCACATTAAAAGATTGAATCCAATCGATTACTTAGTTCAACTCTAGAGCTTATATACCGATTTATTTTCACTACAAGTTCCGATGTGGGATAGACTCCAACACTCCCCCTCAAGTGGACAACCGGGCCATTTTGAATCTAACCGGTTGACCACTTGCAATTAAACTCTCATTTCCTTGATTTTTTTTGAGCGCCAACACCTAAAGGACCACGAGTCGCTGGGTATGGACTTCCAGACGAGCAATCGTGTTAAACGAGCCACAGGCCGTTGGGTACATACTCCATACGGACAACTGGGCTAAAGACTAACGGGCCGCTAGGAATGAACGTCTAGACGGACACCTTGACAAACGAGGTGGGCTAAAATTGGCTTTGATACCATGATAGAATTTGGGATGGGTATATGGACAACTAGATTGGGTAATAAGACACTTGGGTTGAACCACATTAAAAGATTGAATCCAATCGATTACTTAGTTCAACTCTAGAGCTTATATACCGATTTATTTTCACTACAAGTTCCGATGTGGGATAGACTCCAACAGGTTGGTGGACACTTCTCAGGAGCAAGGACAACAAGAAAGGTATTGGACTCAGGGTTCTTCTGGCCAACGCTTTTTAGGGATGCTAATCAGTTTGCTGCTTCTTGCGATCGCTGTCAAAGAACGGGCAATATATCCAAGAGAGATGAGATGCCACAACATTACATGCTACCATGTGAAGTGTTCGATGTATGGGGGATTGACTTTGTGGGGCCATTCCCGAGTTCTCATGGTAATAAATACATCCTCGTTGCTATCGACTACGTCTCCAAATGGGTTGAAGCCCAAGCTTGCAAAACAGACAATGGCCGCACTGTAGTTCGCTTCTTGAAGAAACTGTTTTCAAGGTTCGGAGTCCCGAGATTGATAATAAGTGACAGGGGTACCCACTTCCGAAATGATCCACTATCTAAGGCATTGGAACGCTATGGAGTTCAGCATAGAGGAGGAGTGGCATACCATCCGCAGACTCAAGGGCAAGTGGAGAATGCAAACAGGGATTTAAAGAGAATCTTGGAGAAGACTGTTGCCAAAACGAGGAAGGATTGGAGCGAGAAACTAGATGATGCTCTATGGGTGTTTCGCACAGCATATAAAGCACCAATCGGTACAACTCCCTTTCACTTGGTGTACGGAAAGTCTTGTCACCTCCCTGTTCAAATTGAGCATAAGGCATTATGGGCACTGCGAAATGTCTGCCTTGATTCTTCTGAAGCCGGGCGAGAAAGATTTTATCAGCTAGATGAGCTAGACGAATGGCGAGCATTAGCATTCCACAATGCTAAGCTATACAAGGAAAGAATGAAGTTTTATCACGACGCCCATATTAAGCAGAATAGGGTCTTTCGCGAAGGTGAAAAAGTGTTGCTTTATAATTCTCGTTTGAGATTGTTCCTAGGAAAGCTTCGCTCCCGATGGACAGGGCCTTACACAATCACCAGAGTTTTCCCTTATGGAACCGTGGAGTTGAGGGGGGAATCCGGAACGTTCAAGGTCAACGGTCAACAGGTCAAGAGGTATTTCGGTGAACAGTTTCAAAAAGGGAAAGTGGAGGTTAAACTCCACAAGTGAAGCAATCGCGTCAAGCTAATGACGTTAAAGAAGCGCTAAACGGGAGGCAACCCGTTATTTCTACCTTATTTAGTTCTTATTTTCTGTTGTTCCTTTCTTTTGAATAAATGAATGGAGACTTGTCGCACCTGCGTGGGGGCAAGATTTTATATGTGTGTTTCATGTGCAGATGCCTCACAGACCAGAATACCCGACTGCTACGCGTGCCGATGTTCACCTGGTGGGTTCTGGACCCATCCAGCGCTTTGAGATGTGGGGTCGTCACCGCTCATTGACGGAATCTGTGTACTTATCCTCGGCAGTTCTCGCCGACTACGGATACGCTAAGGAGATGGAGCAGCTGCTACAAGGGACTAGGTGGCATCGCCTCTTCATGATGCGGGCCGAGTCTAGCCTGCCACTGACGATCGAGTTCCTGTGCTCTCTAGAGTTGGAGCCATCTACAGGGTCGAGGTCGATGAACTTCCAGTCCATCGACTCTCGTACAACCCTCACTTTCACTCTCTTGGGGCGAGGATTTCAGCTGACGGTCGCCGATCTGGCTACACACTTGGGTCTCTACAGTT